GTAGTAAGATTCTCTCCCTATATTCGCAAGTATAACTATGCGAACAATAGCATCTTTATCTCTCTCTCTCTCTCTATATATATATATATGACATACCCCTCAAACCCAATTCTAGTGGCAAGGCCCTTAAACCCGAAATCCTCAACCACCAGCTACGACATCTTGACCATGAAATCGAAGCCTACACATGACGTGCCTAAGCCCGAAACGCAGAGGGCCCACATTCCTTCATTCAGGAACTTATAGATGTATCCTTGCTATGGGTGAGCTATGAGGTCCATTTGGATGTTGGCCTTGCTCGGAAGCCTTCGTTGAGGGTGGTGGCATTGTATTTCGCGCAGACTGATCCGATGTCCTTCTTTGAGCTGTAGTACCTGTAAGCGCTCGAGTGGTAGAGAATATCATTGACAATCAGCAGTGCTTCATGTGGGTAGTATAGATTAGAAATTATTTGTCCTACCAAGTAAGTCCTCAGAAACCACAAGAAGAACTATGTTAGAGGGTATGGGTATGGTATAGCGGTCCAAAGCCAGAGCCAAGGGTCAAGATCCAAGGTACGGCGGACGCTTTGCACTTTGTTTTCAACCTCGCTGGACAGCATCCGGTTAGTGCTGCATGTCTGGTGCCTTTTAGATCTTTGAAAAGTTTAGGGCGAGAGGGGTCTTCGGGTTTGCGTGAATCCCAATGAGTCTATACCTTTTCAAGGAACTTTCTACTAAAGAATCATATCAGGCATATCAGGCACCCTCCAGACGTAAGTTTTCTAGGATTTTAGGATTTAGGCTGTCTCATCAGAGGCTTCAGGATTTGGGCTGCCTCAACAGGGGCCGGGCTGGTGCTGATAGCAAGGGATTCGCACCCGGAACTGTTGTCCTAAACCCTAAACCCTAAACCCCAAATAATCTAGGGCTCTTGTAGAACTGAAGCACAGAAAGCGGAAGGACCCCGGCCGAGCTTGAAAAATCCAGGCATGCCGTGCGGGCCTCGAGAATTGTACGGTTCGGTGTTTAGGTTTTGGAGGTTTGGGTTTGGGTTTGGCTTAAGATTCTAGTGAGGCTTCAGGATTTAGAAGTTCCAGGTAATGATAGGGTTTAGGGTTTAGGGTTGAGTTCAGGGTTTGCGGTTTGGGAAAGTCGGAATCTTCAATGCTGCTTGACCTTAAAACCCCAATACGAAAGCCTATCCCCTAAACCCTCACCCCCTGAACCCCTAAACCCGTAAACAAGAACCCTAAGTCCCAAACCCAGGATCTGCATCTTGGGCGCAGGTTTGGTTCGTGCGTCTTCGGACCCGGTGCTATAAACCAAAACTCTACCTGTCGCCGCTGTAGCCGAAAAGACCCAATGTAGGGGCCTTAATAATTAGAATAGGGTCTTGGGGCTTCCTTATTAGTTACAGTATAATATTCCCTGAAGCTTATTCATATTACTAAGGCGGCTATAGTACCTCGTTGAGGGTTCCTTGTTATGGTTCCTATATACAGTTCCTTACGCATGTAGATCGTTTTAGGCCACAGGTACCTATACACCCATAAACTTGAACCTCCTAAGCCCCAAAGCCCTCAACCGCACCCTCAACCCTGAACCCTAACCCCTAGACTAAACAACCCTTTGGCACGGCTATAAACCAATGTAAACCCTCATCACATAATCCTTGACCCTATCGTACAAACCCTGAGAGGAACAATGATAATCATGTTAGCCATACTGACAATGGCAATAACAATAACCATAAGAATAAGGACAATTCAATCCCTAAGCCCTAAACCTCTAAACCCTAAGCCCTAAACCCCGAAGCCGCAAACCCTTAAACCCTAGAACCCTACAAACTCTAAACCCGAACCCCTAAAGCCTGAAAACCCTAAGCCCTAAACCTAGACCCTAAACCCTAATCCCAAGCCCAGGAGGCCGAACTTGACGGGCAGACTTTGCCGGGGCACCCTTCTCTCTGGACCTCCTTGGGGGAATGCTTGGCTTTGGAGGTCGAGTGGCTTTGACGCAGATTTAGGATCCAGGTATTTTGGGGCTTAGGGGTTTGGGGTTTAGGATTTTCGAGTTGAGGGTTTGGGATTTCCGGGTTTGGGGGCTTTGGAGGTCGGGCAGCTCTGACACAGAGACTTCCCAGAGGGTTCATATGTGCTACTATTATGGAAGCAGGTCCCCCAAACCATAACAAGGATGGTCTTGTGGGACCATATATATATATATATACACACATACATACATACATATATATATATATATACATTTATTTATGTGAACCCTCTGGATTCGGATGTTTTGCTTCACATTGGCGTGTAGGGTCGTAAGGTTTCGGTACTTGCAGTAGCACTAGATTTCGGGTTTGAGGGCTTTTGATTTGCTAGTGGCTTTCAGGGTTAAGCTGGCATGTCGGGGTCTTGGTGTTGGGAGTTTGGCGTGATGGAAGTTTTCTGTTTCAGGCTCGGGAGCTTGGCATTTACATTCAGGTTGAGTATTTAGATGTAGAAGCTTAGGCGTCTAGTGTCCAGGCTCTGCTGCGGCTCTTGACTTGTCTCGGGGTCTCCAGTTCGTTAGACCCAAACCCATAGACCCTACAAGCCCTAGAACAATCTCAAGGAAACCTTAGAGGAGACTGCATTGGAACCCTTAAAATTGCTTCCCCTGAGCTTCAGCCGCTTGGTGTCGTTACTCAGTGAGTATGAACCCAAAGGCACATGGGAGTTTCCGAAAATACAGGGTACCTTATATTATATTGGGGGTCCTTAAAATAAGGATCCTACTATTTAGGGTACTATATTAGGGTCCCTTAATTTCGGAAACCCCCACATGTTGTCAAGACATAAAGCAAGCAACACACTGAAAGGACAAGGGGTTGGGATTTTGATTTTCTCAGAGTCTGCATGTGAGCTCTTACATAAGCACGCCTTACATGCTCGTGGGTCACGATTTGTGCACTGCACGTGTGCCCCAAGAGTCAAGTGTGATGCAAGTACTTGTACAATACCAACTCCTACAGAACCTATACGCCTTACAGGGGTTCCCATACCGTGGCTTTACCGCGGGATGCCTGCACCTTTATGCATATAGGGCCTGGCTGTCAACATACTACCTCTCAGAGTGTGCGTGCGCGTCTTCGTGTCGACGTGTTGGTGTGCGTGTGTGTGTGTGCACATCTGTGTGTTTGTGTACCCATTACCCAGATCCTTCCGAGGTATCGCGTGCTGCCACATCGTGCTTCCTCTTCCCCGGTTTCCGAGGCCAGGGAGACTTTCCCCTGTTAGGTTCAGGGGTGCGTCCTATTCGAGATTTATATGTCAGAGGCTCTTAAGGGCCCACCTGTTATGTACGCTAGACCCAAAATGCCTATGTAGACCCTGAAGCGCTGCACTTTGCAGGTGTCGCTGTCTCTGTACCTTCGGCCGCCCGCCGAATGTCGTGGCCGCCATGCCCGTCTACAGCGCTGCTGGGCTGCAGTGAATGGACCTTTCGGACATGGCTTCAATCATGGTGTGTTATCCGCTGAGGTTCACAGCTTCATGGTTTTGATGGGTTTACCAGTTCAATCTCTGTTGTTCTGGCTTTTGGATGTTGGGGCTGTGGTTTCGTGGCTGAGGTTTCGGGTGCAACAGATGTTGTGGGCGTGCTGAGCTCTGGGATGCACCATGGGACCGCATGCCTTTGCAACCCGTCAGTTCGCGTGCAAGGAATATTTCACAATCTCAGATGTATCGGATCGAATGGTATCTAGAGCTCCGAATCCTGACATCATGAATCCCAGAACGCTAACCTCTCCAACAGCCCAGCGCGCGGTCCTTGGCCTTACAAAGACCCTGAACCTTTGACAAAACAAGCAAAGTCTTAAACCCTAAACCCACTAAACCCACTAAACCCTACCAACCCTAAACCCTGAACCCTAAACCTAAACCCTAAACCCTACCCCAAACCCACTAAACCCGAAGCCCGACCCCCTAAACTCGGCCCTCAACCTTCCTAACCCTTGACCATGCTACCGAGGCCTCGGTAGCACCACGCTGAGAATAGCCGAGGCGGGACCCCCAACCGCCCACGGTTTGGAGTTTAGGGTTTAGGGTAAAACCCTAACCCACAATCTCGGGTTGGGAGTTTAGGTTTTTTTTGTGTTTGGGGTGTAGGGTTCAGGGTTTTGGAGTTTAGGGCTTTTGGGTTGTTGGTGTTTTGGAGCTTAGGGTTTTGGGATTTTTAGGATTCGGGTTCATCCTGACCTAGACCACTCCAACCTACCCCTCGATTTGCCGGTTTCGGGTGTATACTCAAGTCCCAAAAGGTGGAACGTGCGTTGTGGAGTGTTGGGATTCTTACCTAAAGCGGCATTGAAGCGAATGAGTTCCAACTGTTTGGTTCCGCTTTCAGCCCTGCCTAGACCCCAAAACAACCTACCTTTTCAGGGTTCCTGAGTTCTTGTGATGTCCTTATAGTACAAGCCAGGTTCTTCAGGGTCCAGGTTAGCCCTAGAGATGTCCAGAAGCCGTAAATCCCGCAATCCTAAACCGAGAACCTTATAAGCCCTTCATGCAACCCGAAAGTGCTACGCCCAAGCCCTAAAGCCCAAAGTCCTACACCCCAAGCACTAAAGCCCTAAACACCAATCCCAAAACCCTAAACCCTAAACCCTAAACCCTAAACCCTAAACCCTAAACCCTAAACCCCTAAACCCCTAAACCCCTAAACCCCTAAACCCTAAACTGAACTCGGGGATTCCGCTCATGAGCAGAACCGAAAACCTTTCGAACGATCTAAACCCTAAGGGTCCAGGGTTTAGGGTTTAGGGTTTAGGGTTTAGGATTTAGGGTTTAGGGTTTAGGGTTTAGGGTTTGGGTAACCCGAATAGTAGATACCATGGCCTTAATGTAGCCCCTATATAGATACTTTGGGGCCAATGTATACACTATTTAGGCACATGGACCCTTATTAGGCCTAAACCCTAAACCCTAAACCCTAAACCCTAAATCCAAAACATATCTCAGCTACCAGGTTCGACAGATGATCTATTTGGTACGACTTTGGCACAACGCAAACGAGAAGCGGCTGCAGGCTGGGCCGTTGAACTTAACATAGGGGCCAGAAAGCAGTAATAACAATTAGTAGTATTCCCTTATAGTCCCAAGAACACTATAGCCGCATATACCCCAGAACCATTCTAGCTAGCACAACGATAATGATGATCATCATTGTTCTTAAGGCCCGCGTACTTTAGGGTTATATATAGTTCATCGCAGAGGCAGTATAGGGTTTCGATTCAAAGACCCTGCAGCCGTCGAGTTCCATAGAGAATGCCACAATCTCCGAAATCTAACCCTTGGGTTTACGGCTGAGTATGTTGGGATAAAGGGTTTGGTGGTTTAGGGTTAGTGTGTGTGTGTGTGCCGTTGTGTCATACATACTGATATACATGCATGCTTGCATGCCCATATTCAAAACTACATGTGCCAGCCTTCTGAATTGAATCGTGTCAGCCAGGGAGGAAGGAATACTGAAGGAAGGCACCGCTCGAGCGAGCGAGCGAGCGAGTGGATGTGTTAAAATCAAGACAACTGAATGCCCGCAAGTCTCAAACCTTCAAGAGTCCGTGAAATTCGAAATCCGAAACCCCAGCCTAAACCCTACCCTAGAATTCCTATATAAGGCCTTCCACGCCGCATCGCCAAAACCTGAATTGGGTAGTTCTCTAAATTTGGGTCCCTCTTCAGGTCCCCGAACTATTACGGCACCCTTATAGAAAGGACCCGAAAAGGGACCCTAGTTTAGAGAGCTCCCTACACCCTAAACCCTGAAACTCTAAACCCTAAACCCTTAGAGAGCTACCTAATCCCGGTGTCCCAGGTCTTCTTCGGAGCGGACGCAGTCGCCCCTGCTCTCGAGCTCGACTTCGACATGTCAGCGCAGCCCGACTCAGAGATTTCTCGAGATTCGGGGTTTAGGGGTTTAGGGTACTTAGTAAGTCGGTTATAACGGGGGTTATAATATTGGGGTAACTTCAGTTAGGGTACTTATAACTCTACTTACAACCTACTTACTAAGTTCCCATGGGCCTCCAAGTGGGGTTTAGGGCTTCGGGGTTTTAGGGGTTTGAGGGTATAGGGCTTCCGTGTTCTGGGTTTTCAAGAATTACGTCTTAGGGTTTGGGGTCTTAGCCTCCACAAAGCTTTGCGGATTTTCAGTTTTGGGGTTTGCTGTGGCTGGTTTTACGGCTTTCGCGCTGAAGGGTCTGGGGGCCAGCGCGTAAGAGTCATGGGAGTGAGGGTCTTAGGACTTCGTGGTCTTGAAGTCGAGGGTTTAGGGCGTAGGGCTTTGCATGTTGAGGGTGTCGTGGGGCAATCCGTGTGTTTTTTTTCGGTTAATGGCTCAGAGGGTCCATATATACTACTATTATGGAATCGGGCTCCAAGAGACCATCCTCATTATGGCTTTGGAGTCTCATTCCACTATTGATGGACCCACTGGGTCAAATGATCTCAACAGCTACTAATGCTTTGAGTTCGATATCTACTGTGTTGTATCTCTTTGTGTTTTGTTTTGTTTGTTTTGTGTGTGTGTGTGCATGTGTTTTATCCTCACTGGTGTAGGGGTCAGTCCTGTTTGTTATGTTTTGAGCTCGGTGACCATGGAACAGGGTTTCCAGGGATCCTTGCTATTCAGACGGTTTAGGGCTTTAGGGTTTACCTGGACCCTGAAGAACCTACCTTTTAGGGTTCCTTGCTATGATTTCTCTATAAAAGTCCTTAAAAATGTAGGTTATTTGGGGTTAAGGTAGAGCTTACTCTAGGGATCCTTCCTATTCAGACTGTAGCTTGATTTAAGCCTATAAGAGAATTTGAAACAGCATAAAAAAAGACTCGAACATGGCTGTTGGCCCGGGCTTTACAACAAATGGGCAGTAAAGCAAACATTGTAGCGGCCGCAACAGTTTGAACTAGAATCCTATTCATACCGGTCGTATAACATTCCCGAAAACCCCATCGTTCATTCAAACCATTCAGGCACCTATATGGGGTTTCCGAAAATAGGGGACCCTAATATAGTAGCCTAAATAGTAGGATCCCTATTGTAAGGACCCCAAAGTAAGGTACCCCTAATTTTCGAAAACTCCCATATTACCCCAGATGCGTAGCAGTCCTGTAGAGCCTCGACGAGATGATCGCTGACCTCGGCGGGTTGCTGAATGCACATACCTTAAGAACCCAAAGCCCACTTTTTTGTAGGTTCTGATTATAAACCCTAATATGGGATTTATAGGGACCCTACAAAAAAAGTAGGTTTTGGGTTCTTCAGATAGGGCATCACACAACCATCGATGCAGCCAAATGCAACACACCAAGCCTTGGCACCTACAGCCTGGGTTCTCGTTCAAGAACATAGATTGGGTTTAGAGTTTAGGGGTTAGGGGTTTAGGGTTTAGGGTAGCTCTCTAAACTACCTATAGTCTCCATTGTGGTTCCTTTTTTGGTTTGACCAATTATATATTAAGGATTTTATAATGTATCCCCAAAAAGGAACTACAATGGAGACTGTAGGTAAGCTACCATGTAAGGAACCAGTTTATTTACTTAGATCCCCAGTCTTGTAGCTTGAACCGTAGCCGTACACTTTAAACTCTCATAGAGCCCCTAAACCCTAAACCCTAAACCCTAAACCCTAAACCCTAAACCGTATGATTCCCTGAGAGGGACCCTTAAAGGATCCCCAGAGTTGATGGTAATAAGAACCCAGTTTCAAGTCACGTGGACGAAGCCCTAAGCCCTCAACTCCTAAACCCTAACCTGAAAACCCCAAAAAGCAAAGCCCTCAACCAAGCCCTAAGCCCTAAAGCCTAAACCCTAAACCCTGAAAACCCCAAAACACAAAGCCCTCAACCAAGCCCTAAACCCTAAAACCTAAACCCTAAACCCTGAAAACCCCAAAACACAAAGCCCTCAACCAAGCCCTAAACCCTAAACCCTAAACCCTGAACCCTGAAAACCCAAAAAAGCAAAGTCCTCAACCAAGCCCTAAACCCTAAACCCTGAAAACCCAAAAAAGCAAAGCCCTCAACCAAGCCCTAAACCCTAAAACCTAAACCCTGAACCCTGAACCCTGAAAACCCAAAA